AGATACGGATGTACTATGACTGTAGATACATTTCTGCGTGCGAGGCCGCTTGGCGCATATTTGGGTTTGAAATACAATAAAAGACCCCGACAGTTGAACATTTGAGCTTCAATTTGCCGGAAGAACAAAGTGTTGTCTTTCGCGATGATCAGCCTCTGGATTCACTGGTGTGAGTGCTGGACAAAAAGTATTAATTTCCTAGATTGTCCTTGACGCCATCCGATGCCAGTTTGCCTTTTAAATTTCATAGGTCACAATATCCTGTTATGACTTCATATGCTATGACTATAAATAAAAGTCAAGGTCCATCTTTGTCCCGTGTTGGCCTGTTGGGTTGTTGTTGAAAAACCCGGTATTCACCCACGGACAGTTGTATGTTACAGTATCAAAGGTTACCAATCGTAAAATTCTAATTGTTGATGAAGACGGAGGAACCACTGACAAGACTCATAATGTTGTATTCAAAGAAGTGTTCAACAATGTTTACGTTTACATTAAATGCATATTTACAATGTTATAGTTTCAACGTATTTGTCGGATGTTTTTGATCTTTAAATTAATTCTTAGTATTCTCATTTTGACCATAATATTATAAGTGTGTTTCGTTTAATGCTTTGATGTATATAGTATACTACATGAAGATAGATGATGTCATCAATTGATACTGTGATTTGAATTACTAAATACACATAATTTTGAAAGAAAAATTCTCAAACCGTGCATCGCACGGGTGAGTTTACTAGTCTATTCTTTCTAATATAAAAGCAAAAGAATTTTGAGGAATAGTGTTCCCTCCTAAAACCGTCAACATCATTCCTTTATTTGTTAATTGTGAAATAAAACTTTTGAAGAATTATATTCTAAGATATTTGTTTCGTCATCTCAGCAAGTTTCATGATTAAGCATTTCCTATTGGTCAAAATAGGAGGTGCGCATAGTTGAAATAAGGTTCACCAATTCCTATTGGTCCAAAATGGAGGTGCGCACTGTTGAAATAAGGTTCACCAATTCCTATTGGTCCAAAATGGAGGTGCGCACTGTTGAAATAAGGTTCACCAATTCCTATTGGTCCAAAATGGAGGTGCACACAGTAAATCAGATTTAATGTATCTCATTCTATGCAAGTGGCATGCTAACGTGCACCTATAAAAGCAACACTTTTGCATTAGACTTCTCGCATCATTCGCACATCAAGTTGAATCAACAAAAGAAGCAATATACGTAGTATTTCTTTCAAACAGCGCTTGAAGATTCATGAGATTGATCAAAGCGGGACTACTTGGACCTTAAAGGCAAGGGCCAGTATAGGGAATGCCAGCGCCTCTTTTAGAGGAGTCACACAATCCTTCTCCTACCTTTCTATTTAACTTTCAATTTTGACGCTGCAACAAGCAAGAGTAGCATCAATACATATTTGTGTGTCAGTGAGTGTTTGTATACGACAGAAATGAGATAGGAATTTAAAGTGCTGAAAGGAGATGAGAATACACGTTTACAAAGTATAAGCAAGCAACAGAGGAAAAAGACAACAACCTGCAATTTCTACAAAGAAGCATCTACAGACTACAAGCAATGGATATCTCAGTTGTGGATGTTTCTACATTCGTGTTTATGTGTAACATGAAATATTTGATTTTAATAACATTAGCAGAAAACAATTCTGGGATTCTTATGTCAAATAAACAAAAGCAAAATCATTGTTTAAGAGTGTGATCTTACGAAAGTTATTGAAGAGGACCATGGAGTAATATACAATCTTCAGAATTTTTCTATTAGGAATAGTTTTTAAAGTTATAGAAACGAAAATAAAGAGAGTAATAAATCATTAGCGCTAATGCTAAATCTAAACAGACACTGATGTAGACTTGACAACGTTATTTGTTTATATAAATGTATAAACTCCTCACAAAACCCATCTGTACTTAAATTTTTGGACGCATACATATATACATTTTATTATATTGATAGATCTAAAATGAAATACTTAAGCATGTACAACTTCAAATATATGTATGCCAATCATTCAAGCCATCATAAATTAAATGTGGAAATATGTGTGTATAAAATATATATAGGTATCTGTATATAATAAACATATTGACAGATCAAACACCAAATATTTTACCATAAATAATATGAAAAACTCAACAAAAATGCATAGATAGCTAACAACAAAAGAAAAATGAGACTAACATATTATAAAAATTACTCCGTATCACTTTCGAGTTAATTTTTATGGGGTCAACCATGTGTTCCATATGTGTACACAGTGCACTCACATACAAAACATATTAAGAAAAGACTTTCACCCAAAAAATTTGAACTCAAGTTATGACCCGGTGGTGTTCATCTTTTAAGTTAGGTACAAATGCCAATCTTTATGTAAGAACCTCCAAAAACACTATGAGCATGGCCCAAATCTGTCTAAAACAATAAATGAAAATATTTACAATAATTTACCTTTAGACAGGGGTCGAATCGCAGATCCGTTTAGACTACAGTATTCATCCGGGAAATGTGTGGAAAAAACCTGTGATGTAGCGAAAAGATGGAAAATTCGAATCCAATTTCGTTGATTTAAATGTCAAAATTGGCATTATAAAAATACAACCTCCATATGATACACTCATCCAAGGTCTCTATGAGGCCAAATCTGCTAGATCTGCGTGGTACGGAGAGCACTGTAGCGGTAGAACGTATATGTGGTCGATGTATCGTGAAGTGAGAGGCAAGGTCAAGGAAGAGCCGAAGGGGCTGAAAGAAAGCTTAGGGGCGGAATATCAAAAGTGTGGTAGGAGACTCCACTTTACGATGTGCAATGGGCATAGGGGTGGGAAGGAAAAATCCAGAAGGGGCTCCACTTTTTCAAAGTTTAACCATTTTTTTTTTAAATTAGAAATTTTTATGGGAGTATATTTTGGTAATGAATACTCCGTACAATATCGTCATCACATCAAATGACATACTACGTACATTTTTTTAGGGAAGAGTTTTTTTTTTTTTTTGAAAACAAGGGAAGAGTTTGTTCCAACTAAGGGAAGAGTTTTATTTGACTTTCGTATGCACGCTATTTTTAGATCATATTTTAGATGATAAAACCCAGGAGCAATTGAATAAAGAAAAAGTCAGGAAGAAGAATCAGAATAGCAGAAGACTAGAAGAGATGATCTCGATATATTTTTCTTCCCCTATTACCTGGATGCAAGCACATATTTAAACACTTAAAATACGAAGGAGTTCCACTCCTACGTGCATAGTGGTCTCCCCCCACAAAGCCAATAACTAAACCTGTAAACAAATGCAACTGCCTAGCGGTAACTAACCGTAAGCCAATAACTACAACAAAGGAAATAATAATAATTATATGTGAAAATAATAAGACTCCAGCAGTCCAATGGGCCTATCAATACCCCCCTCCTGAAACAGTGACCTTGTCCCCAAGGTCGAAAGCAGTGACCTTGTCCCCAAGGTCGAAAGCACTCAAAGCAGAAAATTATTCTCACATAGGAGCAATGTCTTCCCATGTGACATCCTATTGTGACAAATGGCACCATGTATTCATCCCGGGTATCCTAAAGAAAGTTTTGGTGGACTCTCCTCGGGTTGAACTTCCTCATCCTCGGGTGTTGCTTCCCCACCGTCCAACAAAAGGAGTTGTGGTTGTTTACAACGATGTCCCGGAGTAAACCGCTCACTGCACGAAAAACAGAGGCCGAGTTGTCGTCTACGTTGCATTTCATCCCACGGTAATTGCTTGATGGCAGTAGGAGTTTTGTTTGGTTCTTGTGTCGGTGGTGGACCCAGAATTCCTGCGGTGGGGCTAGGCTTGGCAGCACCAGAACGGAAGGAATTCCGGGTACTCAGTTGCCATTTTTCTTCTATTAGTCGTGCAAGGCCAAAAGCATCCTCCAAGGTTCGTGGTTTTTTTGTCTTGACTTCGAGCCGAATTTCATCTTTGAGTCCGCTGACGAAACAACCGATCACAAATGGTTCAGGAAGATCATCTATCTGGTGGCTAAGTTGCTCAAAAGATTCCTGGTAAACAGCAACTGTAGTGGTTTGTTTGAGACGAGAAAGAGCCTCAGACGGATCTTCGTATTCAGTTGGTCCAAAGCGCACCCGCAAGGACCTCACAAATTCTGCCCAGGAAATTGGGCCCCGACGCTTGGTCATCCAGCGAAACCATTGTAGTGCCAATCCTTCCAGATTCATGGCGGCTAAGCCAAGTTGTCGTTCAGCAGTCACACCATAGAACTCGAAATATTGCTCCACTTGGTATATCCATCCAGTAGGGTCACCGCCTGCAAATTTCGGAAATACCGCTTTCGGTTCGTGTGGACGGGGAGTGGGGCGGCTGGTTTCTCCATTTGCAAAGGGGTTAACGTTAATATCCATGGCGGAGGGATCACGATTGAGGCGCCGGCTCACTGCTTGTAACTCCGCCGTCACTACCTGTAGGGCTGTCGTGAGTTGATCCAGCAGAGATTCATGTCGGCCCAGTGCTTCGTTAACTTCGTTCCGAAACTCAGCGTTGGTTTTCCCTCGGGTATTCAACCTGGCTCTGATACCAATTGATAAAACCCAGGAGCAATTGAATAAAGAAAAAGTCAGGAAGAAGAATCAGAATAGCAGAAGACTAGAAGAGATGATCTCGATATATTTTTCTTCCCCTATTACCTGGATGCAAGCACATATTTAAACACTTAAAATACGAAGGAGTTCCACTCCTACGTGCATAGTGGTCTCCCCCCACAAAGCCAATAACTAAACCTGTAAACAAATGCAACTGCCTAGCGGTAACTAACCGTAAGCCAATAACTACAACAAAGGAAATAATAATAATTATATGTGAAAATAATAAGACTCCAGCAGTCCAATGGGCCTATCATTAGACGTCGATCAAATTGTCTGTGTGCATGCGATTTCACATGTCGGTCAAATTGTACAGACAATTTGATCGATGTTTAGTGATACAAAACTTTTTTTATTTGTGCGATAAATGATTTTCTTCATAAAACACCGGTCAAATTGTCTGTACATAAACACTTTGATCGGCGTGTAAAATGATGTGTACAAATAGCATTAGTGTATGTAATTAGGATCTATTTGATAGTTTCTATTCTTGACTTATTAATCTTATTTCACTTTTTTTGAATAATATAGAGTAATGAATTATGAAAAATTTGTGACATCAATGATTATTAAAGTCTTACAATGTCAAATTATTACACTAATTTTAAAAATGATGATAATGAGTCCTATTTGGTGGAAATTATGCTAATTCGGTTATGGAATTTTACGTTACTTTAGTTCCTTTTGTAAATTTTCTTCATTTTTATTGATTTGAATATTTGACGAATATGAATTTCGAATATTAATGTTTGTAATTACAAACTCTCTAAAGTAACTTAGTTTTTTTTTTTTTTTTTTTTTTTTTTTTTTTTTTTTTTTTTTTTTTTTTTTTTTTTTTTATCCCGGAAGGCAAACCACCAAAATCAGTGGGACATATGCCGGGAGACATATGCCATAATTTTATTAAATAGGTAGATAGTACATAAGGAAGGGGACTAGGCCAAAACTTCCTTCAAAAATTTTAACAACATTAAATAAATGAGAGCAAGAAAAGACGAAAATACAATGAGTAAGAAAATTAATGACGAAAATAAAAAAGGCCATAATTATCAGCACATAAAGCCTTTTTAATAGTACTATGCAATTCATTAATGGAAAAATAAGCCTGAAGTGAGCTGGCATCAGGATTGCATCTGGATAGGTAGTGAGCTGGCCAATTTTGCTCCCTAAAAATATGCCCAAAAGATATATGATGCTCAGCTTTCCAAATTCTCATCTGTTCGAACAAGCCTCTCCATCTCCTAGTCTGCAAACCATCTTCAATCGACCTGATAACCTCCAAAGAATCGGATTCAACTTCAAAATCCCTAAAACCTTTCCCAATAGCCCAAGACACAGCTGTATAGAGAGTATGCGTCTCAGCTTCAAGAACCGACCTTGCTTCAACGGGAAAGGAAATCGCCCAAACGAAATTCCCAGACTTGGAACGCATCACCGCCCCACCTGTAGCTTGACCTTGAAAGAGAGAGGCATCTACATTCAGCTTAAAGCTCGAAACAGGTAAATTCCACCTCACAACTCGATATCTGCGTTCAATCTTATTAAAAGAATCAGAAATGAGATTTTCCTCAAAAAGCATCCTTGCTGGGCTCGCTTTAACCTTCTGTAGCTTAGCTCTTGACCAATCTTGTATGAATAATTTGATTTTGTGAATAACAAAATTTATTGGCTTGGGTTTCTGTAAATCCCCCCAAATCATAGCAGCATACATTTTCCACAAATGCCAAACAACAAAACCAGGAATTGTATGCTTATAAATGTCCAGCAAAGATTTAGAACCTGCCTCTAGCCACCAGGAAATTAGAATCTGTCTAATGGAAATATTTTCAGTAGGAAACCAGATGCCAAAGATGCTCATAAAGTATTTCCATATTTGTTTCGAGTAGGAGCAGTAGAACAAAACATGATTCATAGAATCCGAAGTCCTCTTACAGAAGGGGCATATTGTAGGAAAAATATTCAGACCAAACCTGATTAAATTATCAGGGAAGTGGAGAATTCTGTGAATAATTTTCCACTGGCATAGCTTAATCTGTATAAGTTGTTTCTTATGCCAGGAGTCCATTCCGAAGTTGCACTAACCCTTGTTTGCTATGTTGTTTGAAAGCCAATCTAATCCCTCGTATAGCCCTTCCCCTGATGTGGCACATGTGCTTTGGATATACCAGTGGCGCTGTCGAAGAGAGTGAAGGCCAAGCTTGTCGGTGATTTCTGCAGCATTCATTGCATTTGGGAGATCTTGTTTGTTAGCAAAAACAAGTAGTACAGCATCTCTTAATTCATCCTCATTCAACATCCTGTGAAGCTCATCCCGTGCTTCAACAACACGGTCTCTGTCATTGCTGTCAACCACAAAGATAAGACCCTGTGTGTTTTGGAAATAGTGCCTCCACAATGGCCGAATCTTGTCCTGACCCCCGACATCCCATACAGTAAAGCTGATATTCTTGTACTCAACAGTTTCCACATTGAAACCAATGGTGGGAATGGTCGTGACGATTTCACCTAACTTGAGCTTGTACAGAATTGTGGTTTTACCAGCCGCATCGAGACCAACCATAAGAATGCGCATTTCTTTCTTGGCAAAAAGGCGACTGAAAAGCTTGGTAAAGGACAGCCCCATCTTGGTCAGTCAATGATGAATAGTCAGATGGGAGGAAAAAAGATGCGTAGAGATCTGGTCTAAAGTAACTTAGTATGTATTATGTAAGTCCTTTTTTAGTCATTTGTTGTTTGACCAAAATTTAACTGTAATAATCGCTAACCATGTGTCTCACGTAGGGGTGCACGCGAGCCAAGCCGTTCGCGAGCCGCTCGAGGATCGCTCGGTTTTCGCTCGACTCGAGTTCGGTCATGCTCGAACTCGAGCCGAACTCGAGCTAGCTCGGTAAGATATCGAGCCATATTCGAGCACCAATATTCTTGGCTCGTGGCTCGCGGATGTTCTACTAGATATTCTCACCTCACGGATGTTCTACTAGATAATTCATCGATTTTGACACTTTTACTATTTTATATACGTCTTCTACTAGATATTCTCAATATTTCTCATTAATAAAATTTTCCTTTGATTAAAAAGGGGTGTGTAATGGGTGTTCAAACTTTTACCAACTTCAAGTTAATTTTGAATTAAAATTATAATTAATCGTTGGGGTTATATTTGTGTAATGGGCTATTTAAGGTGTAATCTTGAATGTTTAGCCTAAACTTTCATATACTTTTACCAATTTTTGTCAACTACTCCGTACAAAATTTTAAATTGCATTTTAAAATAAGTAGAATTTATTAGATTTGTACACTCATAATTGCAATTGACCTCAATCAGTAATACATTTCACATAATCTCATTATTGGTTGGGTTTCTGGATGATCGCGTTAAGGGTGGGACCTGTCCGGTCTTTGTTGGTTTTTCGATGATATAAAAAATTATTCATAAGATATTGGTTATGAAAATCAGAGATCGAAAAAAATTCATTTACATTTAGTTCGAGTCAGCTTTTATTAGCTCGGGTTCGGTCTATGATCGAATAGAGCCGGTTAAGGCCCAATTGAAGAGTTATCATATTTGAGTATTCTTTAATAATGCCATAACACACTTTCACATATTTGCACCCCCCCTGATTTGCCAATTTACTCGGGCAATTCGTGTAAAAAATGCAATTCGTATAAATGCATAGTCACCATATTACTCGAGATGTTTATACTTAGCCTCATTTCAGTCTCAAACCAAACCAAACTTAAACAAACCAGATCAGACCATACTTGGATATTAGAAATAGTAGAAACACCTATTTGAACATTTTCCCACAAATTTAGATTCAAGTATAATTCAGTAATGACATAACTCACTTTCACATATTTTACTCCCTTATTTTACCTATTTAAAGAGACAATTCATCTAAAAATGCAATTCGTCTAAAAATTCGTGTAAATTTATAGTCACCTTATTACTTGGTCATTATAAATAATTTAGCTTCAATAAATTTATATAAACCTTTGATTTTTGGTGGGTGTTGCCAGTGATACCTCATGAGAGTATACAGGATGTAGACAATGCGACGATTAATTCATCATATATGTGGTCGGAATGCACAGTCCTTCGTTTGAAAAAAAATATGCGTCTGCAGAACACGACTACTCCATCATATTCCTACAATTTTAAGGTCTTTTCAAATTGGATTGTCAACATTGGTGAATGGTGCCAGTGTTGCGGGTGAAAGTAATGATGGTCATACTGTATTACTATTCATGAAGATCTATTGATATGCACAGATGGAGATCCTATAGCCGCGAATGTTGAAAGCGTATTTCCGGAATATGTTGAATCCGCAGGTGATATGAGTTGTTTAAGCGACTGTGCAACTTTGGCACTGGCACTGGCTGTGGTTGAAGCTGTTAATGACTATATGACGGATCTTAATATTAGTGAAGTTTCAAGAACATATCTTTGTTCTGAAAGTGTTTCTAAGGTAGATTCTACGACCGATCTAATGGTGGAACTGCACACACCTGAGTTCTTGAATATTATAAAATTTTCTGGTGTACTGAATAATGAGTTAACGTTAAAGGTAGGGACCTCGGTGATGCTTTTGTGAAATATTGATCATTCAATGGGGTTGTGTAACGGGACACGTCTTATTCTAACGAGGCTCGGTGATCATGTTTTGGAGGGGGAAATTTTAACTGTTGTGAGTGCTGGACAAAAAGTAGTAATTCCTAGAATGTCCTTGACACCACCCGATGCTAGCTTGCCTTTCAAATTTCATAGGCGATAATATCCTGTTATGACTTCATATGCTATGACTATAAATAAAAGTCAAGATCAATCTTTGTCCCGTGTTGGGTTGTTGTTGAAAAAAACGGTATTTACCCACGTACAGTTGTATGTTGCAGTATCAAGGGTTACCAATTGTTATGGTTTGAAAATTCTAATTGTCGATAAAGATGAAGGAACCAATGACAAGACTCAAAATGTTGTATTCAAAAAAGTGTTCAACAATGTTTATGTTTACATTAAATGCATATTTACAATGTTATGGTTTCAACATTTTTGTTGGATGTTTTTTATCTTTGAAGTAATGCTTAGTGCCCTCATTTTGACCATATTATTATAAGTATGTTTCGTTTAATGCTTTGATGTATATCAGTATTACATGAAGATATATGTTGTCATCAATTGATAGTGTGATTTAAATTACTAAGCACACAGAAATTTGAAAGAAAAATTCTCAAACCGTGCATCGCACGGGTGAGTTTACTAGTTTATATAAAGTAATAGTATGATTCATAAATCAAATAAATACTTTAAAAATATGAATTAGTCTTTTAATATAGTAATAATGAGCAAAAGCAAAAGAATAGTTAATATTATAATTACTATTAATAATATGCAGTATGAAACTATATAGGATAAGTAAAATAAATGAACTAATTATCTCAATAAGACAAGTCAGCGAGATGGTTGGAAGGCTGCTTATTCTACTTCATGTCGCGGGATCGAATCCTGCTAGAGTTTTTAATTTTTTTTAGTGAAGGAATTCAGTTCCTTGTGGCCGCGATTCGCTGGGAGCCCACCAGTCAAATTTAATAATTGGGCTGGATGTACGTACACCCGGGTGTACGATATAGGGACTCGGGTAACGAGTATGGGACAGGGAAGAAAAGGGCGGTCGTTACTCATTATTTTTAGGGAAATTTACCAGATGTGACTAAAACTCTATGACCTAACTAGTTTTTATACCTTTGTATGACCGAAAATCCAAAAAAAATAGAAAATTCGTTTATATTTAAATGCTGAATGACGAAAATACCCTTATTTAAAATATGTGCATTTTACACTAATTTCGTCCAATTAAAATTATTGCACTTTATATTGCTGTTAATGCACAAAATTAAAGCACGTCTTTACTGCGCATCTGGTAATAATCACTGCACTTCCGCAAAATTAATTCTCTTCTCATTCACTTGAGGAATTTGTTTTTGTTTTTATTTTTTATTTTTTTAGATTTAATAATTTTATTATTTTACATCTCATTAAGTATATTGTGTTGAAATAATTATATAAATATGACCAAAATAAAGATTATTTACAAAAATATGATTAATGACTAGAGTAGTAATGAAATCATAGTAATTCATGTTCAAGTTTTGAACTTAAGTTACCACAACACCATATTATAGTAATGAATAGTCATATTTATGTAAATATGTTTTATTTTAGTGATATTCTTATAAAAAGCTCTGCATTCATTTACTGACATGTACAACATATATATTGCCATATTCACGATCATGTTCACTGTCAATGTCCAATGCTCAAATTTAATACCCGCAAACCCTAAATTCACTCACAATACTCAACAATATCTATTATGATTTCACTGCCCATATTCATCGCGCATATTTAATGCCCACAAACCCTAATTTTAGATTCCTAATTTCAAAAAGGAAAAGGCAAAAATGTGAATGAAGGGCCACCTAGTAGCAAATCTAAAGCAGTGGCCTACTACGTGTCTAACAAATCTAAAGGAGTGGCTTAATTTGAAGAGATAGGAAAAGAAGAAACTCACAAATCCTAATTTCAAAAGAATGGAAATTGTGGTTCTTGAGGAGGTCCACTACGTACCCACGTATATACTCAACAAATTAATTAAATCTAAATGCTATCTTATCCCCCACCTACTCGAGCAACCAATTCCGTCGTTCCACACAATTTATACCTTATCTCTTGACAAAATGACTATGGGTAAAGTTAGGGACGTTGTTCTTCTTGATTCGCTGGAGACACGGAGTTGCAAATCAAGAGGAGGCTGAAATCGACGACAGGGAGTTGTAGAGGGCGGCACAGTGGCCGTGCGGCGGTGGCTGTGCGGTTGGGAGGCCGTGCGAGCGGCTAGGTTTGAGAAAATGATTTGGCTATTAGGGTTTTATAATAACAATTTAAGGGCATATTAGTCCATAAAAATATTTATTTAATTATTTATTAATATGTTAATTAATTAGGACGAATTTAACTAGTATTTTGGGAAATAAAGTAATAAGGTCATAGATTGAGAATGTGATGGAGTTTTACTCATATCTAAGATAATTATCTCTTATTTTTATTACTATTCTCACCCGTGCGATTGCGATAGACGACCGAAATATATAAACGAAGTATTATGAATCAAAATGTAATACGGAGGATGTAAATGTAAAAATGAAACATTGGAAAATTAAAATCTATAATTAATTCAGATAGACACAAATATCTTCAATAACATATTTATGTAGAGTACAGAATGAAGGGTAAATAAGCCATTTTACATTTTAAATGCTCCTTTCTCCTCTTCCTTTTGTCTTTGATCAAAAGTTTGTTCATGCATTGGGATTTTACATTCTTTCTTTATTTAAAATACGGAATAAAAATTATTTTATGAAATATTAATAGTGTGTTGTTTATGATAATATTTTAATAAATAGATAAATTTATTAGCAGTAATGTATTTAAGATATTATTTATGTATTTAAGATAAATTTATTAATGGTATATTGTTTATGATAATAAACAAATTGGTATATTCATGTAGTGTGTCGCTAATGGTGTCAGTGTGTTACATATACAGGAAAAGTTACTAAGTATCTAAGTATTGTGACATGAGAAAATGAAGCAAATAAAAACATGAAGGTGGTAGCTTTGAAAT